TCAAAGTTTTAGTCCTGTTTTTCATCAATTCCTTGTCTTTTTATTATATGTGTGAGTCACTCCTCTTAAGAATGATTAGGGAGAAAGATCACAGAAATTATAGTCGGCCTTCTCATATTGAACTGAAATAGAAACTGGTGCAAACTCTCTAGAATGCAATTTCAAAATGTCTATCAAATGTCTTAAAAATTAGAATAGGTTTTTACCTGGAAATCCCACTTACATGAGGATTATAGCTAAACAAATGCACATATTTAGCTATAAAAATGTTTAATACAGTTTTTTTCCTTTAAAGAAAAAATATTGAAAGCAAGTTAAGCATACTATAATAGGGTATCAGTTGAATAAATTGTTGTCCACACAATAGTTTAATATACAACCATTAAAAGGTTATAATACAATACACCTAGCCTTTTTTGTTGGCTTGTTTTTGTTTTTTAGAGAGAGAGAGAGACAGGAGAGAGGGAAGGGCCAGCAGCGAGGATGCGGCAGACTGGGAAGAGCCCAATACACCTAGTCTTATACTGCATATGATTGTATTTTCCATATGATTATGTAAAGGTAAGAAAAAAACATGGATTAAAAGTTTTATTCAACTCACTGAAGAAACAGTAAAATTTTAAAGCAGGCCAAAAAATTTTTTTGAGAAGCTAGCTAGTTATTTACAGTATATACTCCAGTATAAGCTGACCTGACTATCAGTCAAGGTACCAAATTTTACCACAAAAACTGCATTAAAAATGTGCTGAAAAACTCGCCTTATACATGAGGGTATACAGTATGTCATCGTTGATGTTGGTAGTGGTAGAGTTAGTTCAAACACACAATGGCCTTCAGTATAACAACAGACTGTTGCCTGGTCCTGCTCCATCTTCATGATCATTGCCATGTTTATGAACAATGGTCAACAGTTGTTTTTTGTGGTTACCCTGAAAACTGAGTTAACATAAAAACGCCCGTGACTTCTCAAAGTGTAAATTCCAAAGCCAAAGGTATATATATATTTTCAAACAAAACACCACAAAGACAGTGTGTTTTGCACTGCTGTCATCTCCTGGCTGGTATACCTTCTAAATTAAAACTTCAAGTTCTTCCTCTAACCAGGAGTGACCGTGACGTGACGCTCCTGAGGAAAATGCCTTCACGTCAGATGAAGTAGTACTTCACTGCAGAGCAGTGTGGGCTTGGGAAGTGGGAATCAGCAGTTTCCAGTGGAAAAAAATAGGCCTAGTACATTTGGGCCAAGAATCTGACACAGGCAGTAGGAGGTAGGGATGAGAGCTTTTTGACATGCATATTATCAACAGCAAAGTGCAATGCGCTTGAAAGCAGCTCAGTGGGGATGATGAATAAGTATCTCCTGAGTTAGGAATGGTAAATGGACACTAATTTTATACCGTCTGTATTTCCTTTTGTAGGATTTATACAATGTCACTTTCACTTACTTTACCTATGTTGCTCCAATCGTGTGATTTTAATAAGTGTACATATGTGTATTGTAGTCCCTTTCTATTTCACTTGTATCCTTAGTCATGTCAACTCTTTTCCACACGGTCTTAAGTTCCTCAATCATTAGCTTTCTTATCCCAATGACTTCCAGACCCCTATGGTTTTGAAAGGAGCCTGCTGGTACAGTGGCTAAAGGGCTCTGGTGCTAACCCAAAGCCCAATCTTTAAATCTCTATTTCCCAATTTCTATGTTTACCATAACCCCTCCCCACCAAAAAAATCCATTGCTATCGAGTCAATTCAATTCAGCCTCATAGACAGCTGGCTACAGGGTAGGCTTGCTATTTACTCTCATTGTTCTTAACTCTTTAGCCAGCAGACTCCTAAGAATCTACTTGGATTTTTGTATCTTCTCCTTGGGTGGGGGGTGGGGGAGTTGGTGGAATGCAGGTGTACTCATGCATAAAAATCTTTTGCATATAATTCTAGGAGGGCTGTGAAGGTACCAAAACCCATCTATGGATTAGTTCAGCCTATATTAAAGATTGCTCTTTCAGTCTTTCATTTGTTTGTTTGTATATTTGTTTACTTATTATTATAGAGAACTTAAAACATACACAAAAGCAGATAAAATAGCATTATAAACCTCTATCTACACATCACTCAACCCCGATAGTCAACCTTCCTAGATCAATTACGCGCTGCTTCCATGAAGACAAGTCAGAAGGTATTGCTACTGGGTTCCAGTTCATGCATAAAAGGTTTTATTCCAACCAAATTGTATTTAAATGCGTCTCTGTAACCGTGACAGCTGTAAGCAAGTTCTCTCTTGACTTGACTTAGTCTCATTAGCATGCCTTCAGAAGAAAAAAGTCCAATCTTTCAAACATATCTGCAGGGCCAATTAGATATAAGGCAAAAATGTCAGCTCAAAAAGTTATGGTGCCTATTTTTGGGTGGGGAGGGAGGCAGGATTGCACAGGGGTTAGCCTTTCTTGAAGCAAACAGTGTGGTCACAGGGATTTGTTATAAAGAAGTTTTAAGAAAACTGAACACTGCGTTGTTGAGATAAATGTTGGGAAAATTGTGCTAAGGAATCTTTTCCATCATGACCATGTCCTCGGCCATTTGAGAATAGCAAGGGATGTCCTGTGAGAATATGAGAAACCTTATCCCATCTGCTCCCCAGCCCTGCTCTCGCCCCTGCAGATTTATTTTTGTGTTTCAAACTCAAAGAACATTTAAAAGGAATATGAGTTGTGTCCCTCAAGGATGCTAAAATTGCCATTTTGATGGGATTTAAGAGAAAAAGGGAAAATCCTTTGGGGAAAACTTAGGGACATGGAAACACTGCCTTCAGATGTGTATAAACCGAGATGGAGGATATATCAAGAAATAATAGCTTCATATATTTGCACATCCTGATCTTTTTGTCTAATAAAGATTTCTATGGTTTCAGAGCAATACTTTTTTTACTATTTTTGTTCATTGCTGTCCGTCTGAGTCCAACGCACTTGGCCCTGGGTGTTGCAGCATAGAACTGGTCCCTAGATTTCTCAAGTCTGCTGTCTTTCTCAAGCAGACACTGAGTGCCTTTGAACATTTAACCTTCTGGTTAGTAGCCAATTGCATTCACTTTTTGAAACATCAGGAATAAATCTCTTCTAGAGTAAACATATGGTACACGGTATGTGTTCAGGCTTGTGAATACTATTTATTAACAAAATGTTGGTATTCTACCTTTGAACCTAAAGAGCCCTGGTGGTACCGTTGGGTAAGCTTTGGATGGCTAACCATAATGTTGGTGGTTCAAAACCACCAGCCACTCCTTGGAAGAAAGTTTAGGCTGTGTGCTTCTGTAAAGATGTACAGCTTTGGAGACCTTATAAAGGATCACTATGAGTTGGAATTGACATGATGGTAATATGTTTGATTTGGTTTGGGTTTGGGATTTTTGCGGGGGAGGGAGCGAGTGGAGAGTGCGTTGAGGAACCTATTGTCAAAATATTCAGATTATCTGAGGAAGAATCCCCAAAGCAAATAAAAACAAAGAGTTTTCTTTGATCAGCATTCTGTGAGTCACTGAGAGAAAAGCAACAGCTCAATTTGTTCTTCCCCTTGTGAGTGCCAAATCATGAAAAATAGAATTTATAAGCAGATTAGACAGAATAGCATAATTCTAAATAAAAGAAATTATATTAACTCTGTCTCTGGCGCATGATTTCATATCCAGCCCCTGCTCAAATCTAATAAAATCTGGACCCCAACAATATGATTTGGGCAGTCGGAAGGGAGATCACTGAAACCTTCCATGGACTGATTAGACATGATATCTGGCATCACCCTGCTATTGAAAACCTCTTGCTGCCAACTCATTCTTGGTAACTCAGTGAAGAAAACATGCTCTGGGTAGCTGACACGTGTTTCCAAAGATTTGTGGTGGCTTTTGCCAGGTTCTCTATGAACAAAAAGAATTATACCTACTATCTTAGAAAAGTACCACCAAACTACTAGACAGAAGCAAGGATAGGAAGACTTCCTTTCATGTACCGGATATACTCATGTATAAGCCGAGTTTTTTAACGCATGTTTTATGCTGAAAAAGCTCCCCCTTGACTTACACTCCAATAAGGGTCCCATTTACCTGTTCTTCAGTGCAGTGTGGGTGTCCTCTGTCTTTCCTGCTCATCTGCGGGTGCCTGAAATCTCTGTGGGTGGTCCGATGACAGCTGATTTCACCTATCACCGCTCTTATTTTCTCCTGCACGCCAGCAGCCTCTGAGTTGCCCATGCCATACTGAGCAAGAACCTTCCCGCTTCTGTGTGCTGGTACTTGGGGTGCACCACATCCAAATGATGAGAAGGAATCCAGTTTTGAAAGATTTTAACTCTTGTGTTTTAGCTTGGTTGCTGATTGAGCTAAGGTTTTCATACTTTTAAAGTTACTGTTGATACCGTATTGATTTTGTTGACCCTCTTTTCCATTTACAGATCTAGTTTACTGTTTTTCTTTGAAATAAATATTCAAAAACATTTAACCTACTGATGCCTCAACTAATGTAATTGTATTGGTATCTATTTTTATTTTGAAATTTACCAGTAGCTGCTGCATTTCCCACCCTAGGCTTATACTTGAGTCAATAAGTTTTCTGTTTTTGTAGTAAAATTAGGTGCCTCAGCTTATATTTGAGTTGGCTTATACTCGAGTATATATGGTACTTTGGACATGTTAACAGGAGAGACCAGTCCCTGGAAAAATACATCATGCTTGGTAAAGCCCAGGGTCAGCAAGAGGAGGATCCTCAATGAGATGGATTGACACCATGGCTACAATAATGGGCTCAAACATAATTGTGAGGATGGGGCAGGACCAGGCAGTGTTTTGTTCTGTTGTGTGCAGAACCAATTTGAAGGTACCCAAAAAAACAAAGAACGTTTTTTTCCCCCATGAACAATTTTCATTTTATTTCCTTTCAGGTTTGTTTTTCTTCAGCTTCTAAACTTTACATAGGCTTTGGAGGAGGTCGTGGGGCAGCACCTGCAGGTCTAAATCAAGGTGGGGGGGTTCGTTCCTTCTGGGCTTCATGTGACCGGTTCCTAACCACCTTGCTGTGAATGGCACAACTCACACAGTAATGCAGCTTCACGTACAGCTTGGGAAGCACGCATGCGTCAAAGGCGTTCGCTTCGGAAATGTCTCTGACGGCCGCGGCCTCCACTATGTTTCTTATGATGAACGTCTTCATGGCCTTGTCTTTGGGCATGCAGCGGGTGCAGTTCTGGCAGCGAATGGGCTGCACATGGCTGTGGCCTTTCTTGGCACGGCTGTAGTTTCGCCTTTTCGTTGTCATCTCGGAAGCGAGGACGCTAGAGGGAGCAACAAAGAACATTTTATGTAGGAGCTCTGGTGGTGCTTTATGGAAAGGAAAGTGTTGGACTAACTTCAAGAATTATGGCTCAAACCCACAAAACCATTCATCACTCCAAAGGAGAAAGATAAGTAAGTTATCTACTCCTGTAAAGATTTACCGCCCCAGAGGCACCATGCAAGGATTTTCAGAATATGAAACAACTTGATGACCGTGAGTTTTAACACTTTATGACATTGCAGGCTAGACATTGGGCTACTAGTCAAAAGGTCCGTAGGTCAAACCCACCAGCTGATGAAAGGAAGTAAAATGAGACTATTGCTCCTATAGGGATTGACAGTCTTGGAATCCATATATAGGGCTGCTATGTATTGGCATTAATTCAGTAGCAATGAATTTATTTTGGATGTGAGGCAAGGATACAGGAACATTTTATAATTAATGGTTATGCCTAACAAGACTGTGCCTATGTGCCCATTCCAAAGAAAGGTGAGCCAACAGAATACTCAAACTATAGAACGATATATCATTGATATCACACACAAGTAAAATTTTGCTTAAGATCATCCAACAATGGTTACAGCAACACATTGACAGGGAACTGCCAGAAGTTCAGGTCAGATTCAGAAGAGGCCATGGGACAAAGGATATTATTGCTGATGTCAAATGGATCTTGGCTCAAACCAGAGAATACAAGAAAGATGTTTACCTGTGTTTCATTGACTATTCAAAGACATTCGACTGTGTGGACCATAATAAACTGTGGACAACCTTGAGAAGAAAGGGAATTCCAGAATACTTCATTGTTCTCATTTGGAACTTTTACATGGATCAAGAGACATGTTTGCTAACAAAACAAGGGAATAGTAAATGGTTTCAAATCAGGAAAAGCTTGCAGCCTCTCACCATATTTGTTTAATCTACATGCTGAGCAAATAATCAGCGAAGCTGAATTATATGAAGAGGAGTGTGACATCAGGATTGGAGGAAGGCTTATAAAGAACTTGAGGTATGCTTTCTTGCTTGCTGAAAGTATGGGAAGAATTGAACCACTTCCTAATGAAGAGCGAGGATTGTAGCCTTCAGTGTGAATTACAACCTCAAATCCTCATAATTCAACCAATAGGTAACATCATGATAAATGAAGAAAATATTGAAATCATTAAAGATTTTGTCTTAGATCCACAATCAATGATCATGGAAGCAGCAGTCAAGAGATTAAAAGACTGGTTGCATTAAGTAAATCTCCTGCACAAGACCTCTGTGCTAGTCTGGGTATGCTACAGAAACAAATTCATGAGCACTCATGTGTATATAAGAAAGAAGTTTATATACAAGAGCAATAGAATATTAAGAAAATGTCCTAACCCAGTCCCGATCAAGTCCATAAATCCATTATTAGCCTATATGTCCGATACCAATCTATAAAGCGCTCTTCAGACTCACGCAACACATGCAATGATGCCAAATGTAGGAAGATCACAGGCCAGTGGGTTGGAAGTCTTGTCGATCCAGTGGAGTTGTAAGCATCTCAGTGCTGGCAGAAGTCTCTAATGGCTTCTCCAGCTCCAGAGGTCTGGTTGCATCAGGGTAGGTCCATGTGGCTTCTCCAGCTCTCAGGATGTAGCACCATGTATCTTGTCAGTAGAGCATCTCTCATGGAATGAGCTGAGGGAGAGCTTCTTGTCAGCTAGGATGTCTCACAAGGATTGAGCAGAGAGAGAAAAGTGTCTTCTGCCTCCAAAGTGGAAATACCGGAATTCACAGAATTCTCAGAAGGCCATGCCCACCCAGAGGCCTCGTTGGCTATGATCTGATTGACAGGCTAGACTCCACCCCTACACTCTTAATCCTCAAATTGACACCAGATGATGTAACTACCACAACCTCTTTAGAATATTGAAGAGCTCAGATGTTGCTTTGAGGTCTAGGGTGCACCTGACTAAAAGCCATGGTATTCTCCGTCGCATCATATGCATGTGAACATTGGCCATTTAATAAGGAAGACTATAGAAAAACCTATACATTTGAATTGTGGTGCTGTAGAAGAATATTGAAAGTGCCATGGACTGCTAAAAGGATAAACCGATCTATATTGGAAGAAACAAGGTCAAAGTGCTCCTTAGAAGCAAGGATGGAAAGACTTCATCTTACATACTTTGGGCATAATGTCAGGAGAGAGCAGTCCCTGGAGCAGGACTGATCTATATTTACTATATTTGGTAATGTGGAGGGCTAGCGAACAAGAGGAAAGCCCTTGATGAGATTGACTGACACGGTGGCTGCATCAATGGGCTCAGGCTTAGGAACAATCGTGAGGAAGGTGCAGGACCAGACAGTGTTTTGTTCATTTGTACAGAGGGTTGCTATGTGTCAGAGCCTACTTGATGGCTCCTCACTACAACAATATGCAATTTGCTGAAGAATCATTTATCCTTCAGCACAGATTTGGCTACATCGGGAAAAGAGGTGAATTGAGATCAAGCATATTGTTGAATCCAATGATCTGGACAGGGCCTGCTGGAGACATGTGTCCACATATAACAGGAAAGAGCATCCCAAAGAAAAGGAAAATTGGGTAGCACAGGGCAAAATGAGGAAAAAGCATCAAGAGAAAATCTTTGAAACGCTGTATACGTCCTTCAACTTGGAGACATAGATCTTGGGCTAAAAGCCTCGGTTACAAGTTATCTGGGTCCGGGCAGTCTCCTTGGCTGGAGTTTGGGCAGTCCATAACTGCATCCTAGTGGAAAGCCTACTGGAAACTCTGTGCCCCGGTGTATGAGGCTGGAGCAATGCATGTTCTTCAGAAAACAGGTTATGTTCATAGAAATCAGTGTCTCAGAATCTCTCAAGAACATTTCTCAGCTTTCTTTGCAATGTTACAGACTGAAAGGGTCTCTGACATGGTCAATCACACAGCTGTGGGCTAGTCTGGTGGCTCATGCAGTCCGTTGCTATGGCATCTAGGGAACGCGATTCTTCAGGCAGACACTGGGAAACGCCATACTCTGTTCTTCCACCCCCTTGTAATCCAGGCAGGGATTACAATAGAAGAGTGTCTCCCTTCACCGAAAGCCAAAGCTGTCCACTTGTGCTCCACTTCCCTCACCTCCCATTATCCAGAATCCTATCTGTTCCCTTCTCCTATATCTTCTATCCCAACCTCTCCCTTCTATCCTCTCCCATTTTAAAAAAGGGAACAATTTTCCCCTCTCCATTTTCCTTTTTATAATCAAATTACTCAAAGAGGTGCCCATTCTCAGTCCATCTATGATTTCATCTCCACCCCCAATCCTCCAAAGGCTTTTCATTCAAACTCAGCAATGTTGTTAGACCCAAAGGACATTTTTCAGATTGTCCTTTACTTTCTTCTGGGTCTGGAACAGGCCTCTCAGTCACTTCCTACGCGATCCTCCCCCTCATTCACCACACGCCACTCACACTAGCTGTATTAGTCTGGGTACTTTAAAGAAACAAATCCACAGAAACTCATGTATAAGAGAGAGTTTTATATAAAGGTTAAGTGCACATCAAAGAAAACATCCCAACCCAGTGCTGCCCAAGCCCACAAGTCCACCATTAACCCATACATCCGACACCAATCCACAAAGTGCTCCTCCATCTCACAAAACAGATGCAAAGATGCTGACCGCAGGAAGAAAGTCTAATCAGTGAACGTGTAAGCATCTCAGCACTGGCAGGGGTCTCCACATGGCTGCTCCAGCACCCAGGGCTGCATCAGGGTAGGTCCATGTGGCTTCTCCTCAGGGATGTCTTGCAGGAAGTGAATCTTGTCAGTTGAAGCAGGGAACTGGCTAAGGCAGCTGCACCCTGGTCCTACCATCACAAAGCAAGAGACCTGAGAACTAGAAAGGTGAGACTGACCAAGCCATTTATCTCTCTGCCCTTCAATTAACCCCACATGTGTTTATCGGCCAGGTTGGCACAATAAACTAACTCACTAGCCTCTTTCCAATTCTCCCATTCTCAATTTTGTACATATTATTTCTTCCTTGAATTAATCCTCCTAGTAAGTCAAGTATGCTTATTATAATTTTTAGGTGCAAAATTTTTCTATTCAACTCTTAATGCCAGGGCCTAGAACACAATATATGGAGCCCTGGCGGCATAGTGATTACACATTGGGCTACTAACTGCAAGGTCAGCAGTTTGAAACCACCAGCGGCTCTATGGGAGTAAGATGGGGATTTCTACTCTGGTAAAGAGTTATGGTCTCAGAAATTCACAGTGGTGGTAGCTCTAGCCGGTTCTATGGGGTCACTATGAATCAGCCAGCATTGATGCAATGGCAATGGTAAGTAAGTAAGTGTACACACACTAGGTACATTGAACAAATATTTTAGTACTAGAAGCAATAGTCATTATTGGAGCAGTCATTCCTTTTTAGGGCCTTCTTGCACAGCTGTTCAACATCTGAAAACCCATCACCAGAATTCTGTTGCTGTTGTTGTTGTTGTTGGTGGTGGTGGTGGTGGGTGCAATCAAGTGAGTTCCAACTTATAATGACCCTGTGTATAACAGCCTAAAGTGCTGTCTGATCCTGCATCATCTTCACAATTGGTGTCATGTTTGAGCCCATTTTTGCAGCCACTTTGTCAATCCATCTCTTTGACAGTCTTCCTTTTCACCAAGCTTGATGTCCCTCTCCAGGGGCTGGTCTCTCCTGATAACACTTTCAAACTATGTCCTGGCCTCTAAGGAGGATTCTGGCTATACTTATTCCAAGACAGATGTGCTTGTCCTTCTGGCAGTCCATAGTACTTTCAATATTCTTCTCCAAACCATAATTGGTTACTATACCAAAAAGAGCTGGTCAACATACAACCATTTCAAGAGATAGCATATGTTCTAAAAGAAAGAAATCCAAGCTGCCCTAAAGGCAACAGCAAAAAACGTCTCCAGGAATGCCAACTGAAATGTTTAAATAAGCTGATGAAGCACTGGAAGTACTCCTCTTTTATGCAAAAAAAAAAA